TTTACATTTTAATATCAAGTGTAATCTAAGCAATTCTGGTGAGATAACCTCTTTACAAAAATTACAGCGAAACATATTGATCATATCATATTGATTAAAATACTTATTCATAATTTCACGGTTTAAACCTGTCACGGGAGGATCACTTTTCTTAACAATAACATAAGGTTTCTTAATATTTTTGTTTCCCCTAACAATATTTTTTTTCTCTACAGATTTGGTGTTTTGAAGTTTTCGAATTGGATCACTTGTATCAGGTTTCTTTATACTCTTTTTGCTAGTTTCTTGTTCGAGAAGTAACTTTTCACTAAATTTTCTATTCTTAACACCTTTAATTTAATCTAAAGCCAATCTAAAGTTAACCTAACCTCTAATATTAAATTTATTTATTTATCCCTTAAACTGTTTTTCATGCAAATTTGCACTGAAATTTTTTTAAAAGTTTTATTTTTAAAATAAAATTCGAAATATTAATTTTAGCTATATACTTTTTAAGTAAAAAATATATTTTGAGATATGTTTTAATAATTTTGTAAAGAAAAATTTTTAATTTTTATTAAAAACTTAAAAATAATAAAGGTTTAAAGTTTTTATTTTGAATTTTTTATTATAAAATTTTTCTTTAAATTTTTAAAATTTTATATGTTTCCGTCTATAAAATTTTTTTTTTCTTCTAATACAAGTCTTAATTTTTACAAATAAATTACAAAGTTACTATAATAAAAATTATTTAAACTATAATTTCTATTAAAAAATTATAAATCTAAAATTAATATTTAAAGAGTTTGCTAGAAAATTATAAATTATTTTTTTTAATAAAATTTTTTTAAAATTTGTATATCTTTAGTTTATAAGCAAGTTAAATTTTTTATCTTAAAATTTAAATATAAATTTTATAATAATATAATCCTTATTCTCAAATTTTATCAAAAAAAAATTTATTAATTTTTTAAAAAAATAGATCAGAAGCATTTTTATAGTAAAATTTAGGGCAAATTTGCCCTGGATTTCAAACGGTTTAAGGGATAGCTATAATTCTGCAAAATGAACTTAATTTATGTCTTTTGCAGTACTACCTTTATTAATAATAATCTAAAATCATGACCTTGAATTCGTTTTAGGAATTGCAATTTTAATGTGAAATAGGTATGATTCATTAATATTGGCTAGCTTTCTTATTTAAATTATTTTGGATAGTTGTGTTCATAGAGCATATATAACCTATTTTCGTAATTTTTGACTCAAATAGTGTATTAATTCTTTTTGCATTTTGCAGTCTTATTTGAGATGATTTTTTTAACAATAGATCTATGTCAGAAATATCACATTTATTCTAACTGCATAAATATTTTTAAGATAATAAAAAAAAATTTTTAAATTTTTAAAAAAAGATTCAAATTATGTTAGTGATACTAATATGTAATAAATTTTATATAAATAGATAGTGGCAAATTATTATTTGAACCAAAATATTTTTTCTAAAAAAAAACAAAAAGATTTTTTTAACCTCATAATGCCCCTACTCCACCTAAGAGAATTATAAAAAAACAAACTTTATCTCTAAATGCACTGTTTCAATGATACCAATAGAATAACGCTAGTTCATATGATTTTTCATTAGACTATCTGAGGCTTTTTCTTCTAAGCTTTTCTTCATTCATCTGTTTGGTCTTCATTTTTGCTATTAATTACTAGTTCTAGTTTTCTTTTCAATAATTTATACTTCCTATAAGCAATAATTACACCTATAGCAGCAGCAATGAAAGAGCCTACTCCAGTAACAATACTAACTATCTCACTGATGCTATGTTCAGTAGGATTTGGTGTCTGACAAGTTACTACTGGCGAATCGCTTAATGATAAGTTATTACTAAGTGCCACTTCTCCTCCTGTCTCATTGCATGATGTCACTTGATAAGTAAGAAGAAGTGGGTTTTCACACTCTGTTCCCCAAAAACGGCATTTTCCTGATTGATAAAGACTAGGACAAATTACAACCAGTTTTGAATCTTTACATAGAGAATTAGAATAAATAACAGCTGATGTAGGTATCGCTCCTAAACAATCAGAGCTATTACTTGGACTAATTAGATGGTTTTGTGCTTTTAAGTAGGCAGAAACATCAACGTAAAGACTAAAGGAACAGCTTTTATCATCGCAACAAGCATAAGAACCAATACTAGATTCACCTACTTTACTACGACTAAGCATCCATTCGAGTTGTTTTTCATGAGCCAACTTGGACGGTCCCTTAATAGAAAAATTAGGAGTAGATAGACAAAACGTTTTATTTTGATATTGGCAAACACTTTTTGTATAATTACTAATATATTTTCCCATGAACTTATTATTTTTATATTTTTTGAATGATTTACAACAATCTAAATCACTAATCATAGCATTATTCAAGGAGATAAGAATGCGTACATGGGTTTATGTGAACTTGTAACTCAGATTAAACAAAGCACATGGCAAAGATCAGATATCAATTTCGAGAGAGACGTGCGTGATCTCGGAAAACTAGATATACGAGAGAAGAATATACTGTTCATGATGTGTGGTTTTTTTCTCACAATTGATAGTGTTGTTATTGATTCATTTAATAACTCGCTTCTAAAAGATCTTAAGATCCTATCAGTTCATAACAGTCAATTTAAGAAAGCGCTTGAATTTATTCAGAACAGAATCGACAGGAAGAGGTTCATGATAAATTCTACAAGGACATGGGTAAAGCATTCTTTAGCGAGAGTTATAAAATTCTTTTAAATTGTCATGAGAATTTTTATGAGTTCAAAAAAGTATTTGATTACTGTGAGAGATATCAGGATCGAAGTTTACCACTTGGTGAGAGGTTGCTCGCCTATGCATTCATTGAGTGTATAGTATTTTT